CTGATCTTGGCGGCCACGTACTTTTACGTGCTGCACCCCCGCTTGGAATAATAATAATAAAACAAATAATAAATAATAAAACAAATAAGAAATTTAAAATTCGGGCTTCCAGATGCCCATGTTCGGACGGAGCACTATGTTATTTAAAACTTGAGGGCTCCAGGTACTGTAGCTTTTTTTACAATGCGGGGAACATACATACCTCCGTGCAGATTCTTTATTATTTAATTTATTTAAAAATATTACAAGGCAATACTATTTGGTGTCGACAATTTGAAAAATGATACTCCGTTAATAGTGAACCAATCTGCAAAGTGATTCGCCATTTACAGTGAATTGACACAAAATTCTATTTCGAGACTAATCGCCCTTTTTGGGCTAATGATCTACCCTCTGAAGTCCTGTCTCGAGTCTGAGGTTGGTTGTACTGAACACTTAGAAAAGTGTTACATTACTATACTTTCCCGGAAGGGGGAGGTTTTAGTTAATTGCCTGAAGATAAACCGACTTTTTGAGCTATTAGAATATTTCCAAACGTATTATTTCACAATCAACTAAAGTATTATTGATCAAACTGAAAATTTCTTTGAATTTTTAATATTTTTTTTCCCCCACCGTTACTGAATTCTAGTAACAAACAGCTTGAAGCTACTATCCACCGCGCATGAAAACAGATGTTAGCCAGGTATATGAAAGATTATGTTATTTCCCCAGCAGTACTGAAAAAAGGGTACATTTTTTGTGCCTCGAAGTGTTAAAATATGATGACTGTTTTAAAGCTCACATCTTGGTTCGCGTGAGAAAAAGAAAATCTAGGATAGTTTTCCTTTTGTTTATTATACAAATAGCTCCTCCTTCGACAAGGCTTCGATAACAAAAATCCACTGTAGCATAAAGAAAGCGACCCTGCAATTTACGGAGGGAATCTTGCAACTATAAAGTGCACATGCAGCAGTCGCATCTATCATGTCCTAGTAAGGCATTTTTGTCACCGCAAAAGAGCAGTCGAGTACCACTCGAAAAAGAGGATGCCTTTCGAGAAGAACCCTCACGACCACCAGTCGTCGGGCGCGTGGCACTCGAACAGCATTCGCTGATGCGCGAAATGACCGCATCGCGCTCAATTAGGCTGACGGTTTGGCGGTTTACACGCGTCGTGGGAAACGCACGTCGATTTGTTGCGCTATCTTCTGCGCTCTGAGAGATGTTTCCCAAGAGGCAGTTGAGCAGCGCTCTTTGGCTTCTCGCCATTCACTGTAACCAGATCCTTTTATTCATGTTGCGACTGGTAGAGGAAGCATATATAATAAATTTTGTTTTTAAAAAAATTCTTTTGTGAAAAACGGATATGTTAGCATTTGTATATTAAAGCGTCGTTTATATGTCTTTTAAAGGATTCCAGGGTAAAAACATACAAATAATAAAGATATAGAATGGAAATTTTAGTTTAGAATGTGATATGCTTATTTTAGTATTTTAGTTGGATTTAAATTGAGAATTCGTCTGTGGTCTCTTTTAAGGATACCTCCAGGAAGTACTTTTAAGTCTATCTTCCGGTGTCTCATATGTTTGGCGATCTTTATCTTCGCAATCAGTTTAGATATTGGAAAATAGTTATTTCTTCTTTCCTAGCAACATCCTTAACTGCTTGATCAAGGTTAATATGTACACATGTAATTCTTCTCCGATGTAAATTCTAATCTGTCCTTATAGCGCCTTTGTATGGGAGGTATGTACTCCATGGATGACGAGAATCCCGGGGGGGGGAGGGTGCTTTGGTCTGTAGGACTGACCTCTGGATGAATCCGGCGCTATGGGTCTGGGCGGCCGGTGCGAGAGTCCTGTGTAGCTCCACTCAAGCCAACTCTAGATAAGGGTGGACGCGGTGCTCTACTGATTAACCGTTACGGTGTCCTCTTTTCCTTCAATCCCAGTGTGTCCTTATATCCAGTTCAGTGTGACTGGTCGGAGCTCAATCTCCGTTTTTAATTCGTTCAAAGCTCTATTTAGAAGCGTCGTTGCTCTGCTGTTTTAGATCTCGTTGTATGCTTTAGCTGTCCAAAAAAACTCTGAATACTCTGTCTTTTCCATTTGGGTAATCATTTGCCCTCATAAAGGCAGCTCGTAATGTTACTGCTTCCAGTTGGCAGACTGAGCATATGTTACTTAGTCTTAATTAACTAAAATATTTACTTTCTTACAGTTCAGTGCAAATATATTTTGCAAAAGAGCTAAATTATTAACCTCTTTTATACCATTTGAGTTCTTAAGATTTTGCAAAGGGAAGTTGGTTGATTTATTTATTAGGCTAATTAATATTTGTATTAAGGGATATTGCTTATTTCATTGTAATTTTGTTATACGTAATAACTTTTTTTATGAAGTTGTTCTGCAGAGTAAAATTCTATGCAGTTTTTAAATTTAACGTTTGGTGTTCCCTTCAGCCATCTTTCCGGTAAATTTAAAAGCCAGACGAAGGCTGGCAGCGAAGCTGCTAGTTATTTTATAGAATGAGCTTTATTATGCTTTAAATAGCCATTGTAACAAGTATGGATTTTGGTAGTATATTAGTTCTATAATCTGTTTAAACTTCAAATATGTATATCTTTTAAAAGGTTTCCATATTTTCTCCTGCAAGTATATATACAACGAAATCTCTCTGTCTGAACCTCGGATAAATTGAAATTTCGATACAATTATTTTTCTGGAGACTTTACTAAGTTTAACATACTTTGATATGGAAACTATTACTGAGCATCGCAAGACGAATATTTGCAGTCATAAAATTATGAGATAAAGTTTTCTTGCTTTTAGCAATCTCTCCATTAAAAAAAATAAATAAATGACGAAAGGAAACTAACATTAATTTCGAAGAAAGTAAAGATTCAAAAATTTGAATAAATGCTCTGCAGCTAATAATGATATTACGATTGTGATAAAGGAGAAAAAATTTAAATAGCAGAATGGCTTAAAGCTTGAAAGCGGAGATTAACATTCTGATTCAAGTTTTGCAATCTGTAGACGCAATCGCTATTTTCTATAAGGTCTGAGATACAAGATTTCCGCCATTTTTTGGTGTCCCCATTTTGGTGAAATTGTCATTTTGCAAGTCGTAAATAGAATCCTACAGTTTTCCGAATTCTTTTTTGTTACAGTGTTAACTGAAACGAGAAATCTTTTTGAAAGTCACCTCATTTTCTCCGAGTTCTTCCATTTCGTTCTCCAGTTATCCAAGAGAGATGTGAAACAGAAGCAGCTTCGAAACACTTGTAAATAATTACCATATTCTTCTGTACATTTTATCGTAATGTAAATTATGAGCATGTAGCAGTTCAAAACTGGGCAAGGTAAAAAAATAAATTTTTCACGTTTCCTGCTCCATAAGAGTGGCTCCTAAACTTAAGGGGAAAAAAAAAAAAAAAAAAAAAAAAAAAAAAAAAAAAAACTGATGTCAAAACAGATGGTCTTTATATTAAGCTAAAATAAATTATCATGTGCGGTAAGTTGTATTTAGTTTCTCTAATGAAGTTAATATTTTACTCAGACTTAAAAGAAAAAAAAAAAAAAAAAAAAGACCTTTATTGGCTGGAATAAGTGATCTATAAACTGGAGATGTTTCCAAAACTGCCTGACATGCTTCAAAAGCATCCGTTGAGATGTATGTCGAAACGTTTGCTCACTATGGTTAGAAAATAATTGGCTTCATGAATAAATTCTTCTTAAATCATTGAGTTTAATCGATCGGGATGCACCAAGTTCAAACTACGAGTACACATAATTTAACACTTTGAAAAGTACACGAAAGAATTTGGCAACGTAAAGAAATAACCTCATAGGTTGAAAATGCAACTTGTGGAAACAGAATAAAACTTTAATTTACAAATTGTGTATTTTGTATGTAAGATAAAAATATTATCATAATTTAGCTTTTATTTTTCATCATAAAGGTGTCTGAAGTTATAATTGAGATCAAATCCTATAGCCATTGAAGTTTATAATTCAGACAGATACTATTCCCAAAAATTTAGGTAAAGAAAATTTACTCTTAAGTGCCTTGAGATACTAGCTAAATACAGAAGAGAGAACTTCCAGACATAACGTTTAATTTTAGGAAACGTATCAATCGCTTTTTACTATAACTGAAAGTACCAAAGATCATTTATCACTGTTGTTAATAGTTACGATTATGTCATATAGAAATCTCAACTGATAGCTTCCTATATTTCTGTTTATAAATTATAGGTTTACAATGAATAACAAGTTCATATATATCTTAAAAGATGCTTTAAAATTTTCTTTATGCTTCAGAATGAATGACGAGTGATCAAACAGCATTTAAATCTAGTAAACGAAGGTTCCAACATAAATAGTAGTAGCACAGACTTCCGAACTTCCCGTGAGGTCGCGAAGCTGCGTGAGAAAGGTTACCCTGCGGAAAGGGAAGATTCCACCGTGTCGAAAGGAACACGTGACTCGAGTACAGTGGCAAACTCTCCTTCGCGGCAGCGAGTTTCAGCAAGGGAGATCGATTTTCTCGGGTAATCGAAATATAGAGGGATTCTATTGTTGAGCGCACCGATCAAAGATTAGGGGAGGAAAGCACAATTCCCCCCTTTCGCCTGTAACTAGTTTTTGTAAATCGGGAGCTGGAATGGGGCTGTTGCAGCCTTTTTCTTCCCCAAATTCACTAGACTTTTGAAAATAAATAAATTTGATACGGGCTTATCGGATTATGACTGTGCATGGATTTAAATAGTATCCGAAGACTGCAGCTCTCAAAACGAATTCCTAGTTGTATCTGCAGTGCTCATCTTAATATAATTTGCACAATCAAAGTAATCTCGGTACGATATTTTATTTTTCTTTTTCCTTTTTATCTTCCCTTTCTTTTTCTTTTCTTCTTTTCCCCTTAACCTTTCCTTCATCTACTTTTTTTCTTGTTTTTTAAAATAATTATTAGTTAAATTTTAATTTTGAATAAGTTTTATTGTCATTTAAAGGCCTGAAATATGTAATTCAGCAGTTTACTAATAATTGTAATACAGACACCGGTCCTTCAGAAACCAAAAGCAAGATCCATTCATCTGTAGATCACAGAGCCAAGCGGGTAGAATCTTCATCGGGACTGAGTCGATACCGGCATACCACATGCATGCGCAGGGTCGACGATGTCTATGCTGTATCGATGGCACGATTTACGTACCATCGATACGGTATAGAATGCATTCAAGCGCAAGTCGGACTATACGTGGAATTGGCATTGACATAGATTAGATAGCATAGGATCGACGCTAGCATAGGATATACACTAGCCTAGAATCGACAGTGGAATACAGTCGACACTTGGCATAGGATCGACACTGGTATAGAATTGACATTGGCATATGACCGCTACTGACACAGAATCGAAACTGAAACGAAATCGACTCTGACATGACACTGGAATAGAATGGACAATGGCTAGTACGGTCACTGGCATAAAATCGACTCTGGAATACAATAGACACTGGTAAAGAATCGACACTGGAATAAAATTGACACTTTCATAGAACAGACACAGGTATACAATCCTCATTATCACTGCACAGACAAAGCTTATAATTAGGGACGAAGCTTAAAAATAAGACTGAAAGAATTTGACAGATCTATTATTTTCAGAAACACCAGAATAAGATCAAATCATGTTTCTGAGCTGATGTATTAATAGTGGGGTGACAGAGAGGCTGTCAATACCCAGAGTCGATCTCGTGTCACATTCTCTTTCTGTGAAACAAAAGCAACACCAACGCAGTATTCAGAGTTTAACTGTAAGGTCTGCTCTCATGATTCACTTAGATCACTGTCAGAGATGTTATAGAATCTTTTTCTTTAGTTATTAATAACCATACAAAATAGAAAGCAAATTTAAAGCTTGCATGATGTTCAGTAGACTGATGATTCTAAATTCTTGTAATGGAATGTGTACTTCAAATCAAGTATCTGCTTAACTCTATGAGATTTTCGAAAATATATAAAAATTCTCACGAAATATTTGAAGCGTACATCGACTACTAAAAAAGTGTAGGAACTTTACAGTAAAGGAATATTAACAGCTCAATTCTTTACCTCATTCCAACCTTCTTAGCAGCAAAAGTTCAGACAAATTAATGTTATAGAATTTCTGCGCATAGTAACGCTTATTTATGTTTTATGTATTTTGTTCAAACAGATTAGGACAATTCAAAAATATAATATTTACATATTTTAATTACATCAGTAGTCATTACATAATAAAGCTATGACAAATAAATTTCAATCTGGCATTAGATATTCATTAGAAAGAAAATTATGAATTACGAATAAGGCTTCATCTTAAGATTGTAAAGATTTAATTTCAAACTTTAAAAAAATTCTGAATAAAATAAAGTATTCTGTTCTTTACCCAGTTGGTTTTGCTTTCAGTTTTAAATGCTTATTTTGGTATTCCTATTAACAAAGTAATCATGAAATTTAATATAGTTCCCCCCCTCTTACCATAACATTATAAAATCTTTAAATATCCATACATCAGCAATGGAGTATTATATAATTTTTATCGTTAGTTAACCGTTTTCAGTAACATTCTTTAAGATGTACCAAATGTTTTATAAAGAAAAATTAAGTATTTTCATTGTGCGAAAGAACAACAGGTTAAATTTCATTCAGAAGAGTCGAGGAGATGTATTCATCCGTCCAACTTTCGTTTTAGTATGCAATTTCTTTATTAAACATCAGTATCACTGCAATAAATTAATGATCTTCCAGTGCAAATTACTGAATATGCTTCCTATCTCTGCATCTATTAAAATATGTAAATTTTACAGCTTTCCTCAGCTACCAGTTATAATTGTACCTTTCTGATGCATTCAGCGTAGTTCTAAACAAAATCAATGTCTCAAATATAATTATCAGAAAATAAGATCAAAAGATCAGCGTTTTCAATATAAGCATAACTTGAATCACTAAGCGACATACATGGAAGCCTATGAAAGATTTAGTTAGAAATTGGCTTTCCTGCATTTTGCACATTTACAGGTTTGACATTTAGTATCTCAAAATTACAAAAATAGTGACCATAATAAGCAGCATTCTTTTTATCCAAATGTATCATTAGGGAACATAAAAAATTGATTTTGTGAAAGAGAGGAATTTAGCCTAGTTAATTTTAGACAGGGTACATAACTTTTTAGACAATTTAGTTACTTAGACATCTTGTACATTTAGACAAGAAGCTTCTGTCGGTTAAAAGAGTGATGAAGAAAAGTTCGAATTTGTGAAGAAACTATTTTGTATGATATCTGTATCGAAATTTTTAAATTCGATCACAAATATACGTAGGGGTTAAAACTTTAAAAGTTACAACTTTTTATTTACAACTGATACAAAAGAGATAGCTTTGTGGAACCTTTAATGTCGTTTGATGTTGTTATCAGTGTTGGGTATAAAATATTGCTAGCGATGTGAAAGTTGTAATGCACACTGGGAGGGGGGGGGAGAAAAAAAGGAAAAAAAAAAGAGGGCGCATTTCTATATCTCCGTCCTTACTGGACCGATTGACGAAATTCAACTTGCGTTTTTCCTGTCTGGAAATTGCGACTTAGGATATGTATTAGATTTATATATAGCATTGTTCTAATATCGGTATTTTGACACAAAATCGGACTTTTTCTGAAATAATATACCAACTTTTTTCCATATTTCAATTCTGCGACTCAAATTACGCCAAACTACAGTTTTGTAAAAATCGCATTAGTAGTTTTCAAAACATCTCTTAAAATTTTAGCTTCTCAATGTTAATCGAGTTTGGTACATATTGATTAATCTTTCTTTTTTTTATTAAGCTTATCTGATTCTTCCTTTCACATTTCGAAATTCAGGTTCATTCCAAATAAAATTCACCCTTTTTTTATGATTTATTTTTAAAATTTGTATTTTTAAATAATTTTCATAAATTTTTCAAAAAAAATTTTGAATTATAAAACTATAAAATTTTAAACTATAAAACTATAAAATTTTTACCATCACCATAAAGTAGACGAATTTCTAAGCATACCTGCAAAAAAATTACAATTTTTTATTCAAAATTTCCGAAGATATACGTGAATTTATACATTGGCGCGTTTTGAAATTTGGTATATTTGTTGAAAGTGATAAAACATCAGATGGGGTTTAAACACTTTTCTAAAATTATTTGGAAGTAGAAACGATGCGACTTTTTTTCCGCTCATACACAATGTAAAAAGGTAGGAACGAGGTACCTTTTTTTCCGCTCCGGTATAATGGAAGGGAAAGGAAAATGGGTTGCCATATATTAAGAAGTTCGCCAAGTGAATTATTCTTCGCCAAACTGAAAAAGTTTCGCCAAGATAAATTTTTGAATTTCTCCGTAAATTTTGCACCAAATTTTACAAAGTTTAATGTCTGGGTATAATTTGAGTCGTAGAATCGAAATATGGAAAAAAATTGGTATGTTATTTCAGAAAAAAATCCGATTTTGTGTCAAAATACCTATGTTAGAACAGTGCTATATATATAATATATATCCTAAGTCGCACTTTCGAGACATGAAAAATGTAATTTGAATTTTGAGTTTTGCTTCTACGATGGGACCGATATTTCATCCAGCCTTATAATCAACTGCGTAAAGAAACTTTTCTCTGCCCTCACAGCCCTCCGAGTGGTTTTGGTCAGCATTTTATCGAATCCATTTTTGTCGCGATTTTTATTTCGAGAAAACTGTAGCTATCCAACGTTAGATTACCAACTCACATGAGACTCTCTTTACGGTGCGTGTCTGCATAGCGTTGAAAAGGAGAGTAAGATAGTTTAAGTATCAAATTAATATGTGATTATAAGCAAGAAATTGCTGTTGCTCCAATTCGTATTACATACACAGCAGCGTTACAAATATTAAAATTCCAACCAATATATAACTTTCAGAGCCTTTCGGCAAAGAGGAATATTTTTTACCAATATTTGTCATACTGAATAATTTTAATGTAAGATGACGAAATCTTTAAAAGACCTGCCATTAAATAAACATCATTTAGTGACATGAAGAATTCTAATCTTTTTATGCTAATCGTCTCCTTATTTTGAAACGTATCATTTTTATATCCGGCGTATAACGCACATAAATTTCGATCTTATTTTTCTGTATTAAAAGCTTGCGTTATACGCCAGAATACGATATTTTTAATTGTATATTTTATATTTCGCTCATCCGATGTGGTTTTATAGTATCTCTCTATTTATATGCATTTATATGAAAGAGAATTTGAAAAATAATTTAATTAAAGGAGATGAATGTGTATTTTTATCCATACCTACTTATTGCTTTTTATAAAATAAGTAGAGATCACAACAAAGATTCAAGTAAAAACAAGGTTTTATGAATATTTATTTTATTTTTGTATATTTAGCTATGTACATATTCTATAAATACCAGGAATATTTCTATCACAGCAAGATTTAGAAATAATTATCACAATATCAACAGATAAATAAATAAGTATAAATAAGTAAATAAAAGAACACTGCATGCTGTTAATACTGCACATTTTTCTAATAATGTTAACCTATAGAGAATCTTTTTTTTTTATCACACATTACTGAGTTCTAAACTATTTCTTTCTTTTGACAGATGTAAATTATCCCGAGGACAAAAGCTACGAAAATACACTTTTTGAATATTCAGAATCTTGGGAATTCATTGCAGTTTCAAAAAAAAAAAAAAAAAAAAAAAAAAAAAAAAAAAAAAAAAAACTTAACTACGAAATAAAACTAATGAACTGTTTATGTAGTTAACGCTTTACAACGTTGCCATTACAATCACAAATAATTATGCACTTCTGCATTTGATTTCATGTAGAAAGGCAGTATTGTTGTTGCTTCAATGAGTTAATTACTTAATTCTAAAGAGTAAAAACACATTTTCACTATATCTATCAAAATCTAACAAAAAAGAGTGTGAAAGGTTTTTGGATTTTAACAATCGCCCAAAAGGGTTTGTTAAGGTTTTTTACGCTCTTATTGAGCTCCAGTCTACCAGTCTGCTCTTGCACTCACTCCTGCTAACCCATTCTTTTTTCTTTGGTCTTCCTTCCCTAAGAAACGTTTTCTTTGTGCTTACGACACATATATTTCAAAGGCAAAATCACAAAATATTTAAAAACATTGTTTAGAAATTCCAACAGTGTATTGGGGATGCCATACAAATTTTCATATTCTGTATATTACTTTTTAAAAAACCAGCCGCTTGCACAGCCAGTCTCTAATTATATATATAAAGAAAAAGTATGTAATGATTTCAATAAATCCAGCTAATGTCATTTCATAAAAAAATATTGAATATTCGTTTGTGTTCCAGGAAAAATTTATCACCGAGACTCATACGATGGACCTTTAAATTTCAAGAATGCCATTTAATATTTAAACATACACTCGGGAAGGAAAGTTTGTAGCGGGTGCTCTGCCAACAATTAAATTAGATAACGAGGCAAATGAGGTGGAAAATACAGTGTTAACTTCAAAATTTCAGATTCTCCAGAAACAATTATTGCTGAATTACAAACAGACCCATAAATTATAAATATTTAAGCTATTTGAAAGATCCCGACCACTTTGAGCACCATGTTGTGACGGGTATTAGAAACAGAGCTGTAATTATGAAATTATTAAAACTGCTTTACTCCTAAACTATTAACTATTAATAATATTACTATTACTGTTAATACTGCTTTACTCCTAAATTACAAATCGTAACAATGCATTAAGACCAGTTATAGTAGTGAGTTTAAAATTAAGCATTTTTCAGGAATTGCACGATGAACCGATTTCAGGCCATCTCCGGGTAAGAAAAACAGTTCAGCTGTTTATTTTCTACAATTACGAAAAAATGGCAAGTCCTGCAACATTTGCTAGTTGGTTAACTATATTAATTATAGTCCCGATCGGGTACCTAAATAGCATAAAAGCTACTTTCTCTAATGAATTAACAGGAATTCACTTACTAGATCCCTACCCAAGTAGCGAGAAAAATAAAAATAGGTATTAGTTCATTATGGTTGATCATTTTTCTAAGTGAGTAGAAATAATATCCTCCAAAAGAGCCTCTGCTAAAATGGTTTCAGATTCTGTTTTAAGTATATTTATATTAAAATATGGAGCTACCACGAAAAGTAGTTCGTTAGTCAAACTTTCGAGAATATATGTTCAGGGCTTGGCATACAACATTTTACGATGATTCCTTATCGACCACAGTCAAATATTGCAGAACGGGTCAATAGAAACATAGTTAAAATTATCCGAAGCAATGTAAAACAATATCACCAACTTTGGGATGACTGAGTCAATGAACTTGAAATGCCTTGGGGATGGATAGACATGATATTACTGGGAAGAACTCGGCCTGAATCATTTCTTGACAGAAAGTTAATTATGCTTTTAGATAAGCTCTTTTTTGTTGTTGTTGTTCAAAAGAGGTCTGCAGAATTAAAAATGTCAGATTTCGGATATGGTCAGAGAGCAACAAAAGTTTTATTAAGAAAAGTCAAGAAGTTGATTTTAAAGTGAGAAATAAATTCTTGAAAATTAAACATTCTCTTTCGTATGCACCAGAAGGAATGTGAGAAAGTTTTGTAATAAGTTTGAAGACCCACTTTTGACTGAGTAAATAAAGGAAATAATAGTATATCTGAAATGGTTAAAGTACAAAAGTAAATGCAGGCCAGATCAAGCGATATTATGAGCGCGCTATGTGACTGCTATCAGATGTTTTACAGGAATCCTCTGCTGTGAGCAACTAAAGGTCAACAAGAAATACTGCAGAATACAAGGTCCACAAAGAAAAAGAAAGGAAACTAGAATTGGTGAAGAAGACAAGAAGAGATCGAAGTTCGACCAATCTCAAAACAGAAAAGTTGCAGATAACGGAGGGCCTAAAAAGACAGAAAAAAATAATCAAATAAGCAGCGGCCACCATCCAAGTGAGTAGCAACACCTGTTTGGAAGTCAACGTACAAGAAACCCAGTTACGAGAGAGCCTTTCAACGGAGGGAAGAATTCGGTACAGACAAGAAAGAATTTACGCAGCAAACGATCGACAGATGACGGGCCAGCATATCCTGTTAAATCCCAAAAGAACCAAATAAAGTTTCCTTTAGTACATCAAGAGTCAACACAGCCGTTCAATTTCCAGGTGAACAAGCGGAGGTTTGCAATTGCGAATCTAGTAGCAAGCAAGCCGTGGCCGACAAAAGAATTCCCGCAGCCACAGAGAAAAACTAGACGAAATAAAGATAGAGCTTAGAAGCGCAAAATATCAGACCAATCAAGTAATCAACGGTCACACAGAAAAGACGAGTTCTTCACACATCCCTTTACACAATGTATCTCCCTTTCCACCCTCCTGGCAGGAATTTCTCCAGAAGAGAATGGACGAATATCACCGGAAAAAAAGTAAATGAAATTTATTTTCTTTAAATATTCAATTTTAATTTATATCATAAGTACAAAGTTACTTTTTATGTTGACTTTTGCCTCAAGCGAGGACCTCATAGATTTAATGCAGGAAGTATCTTTTTAAATTTAGTTATGCATTTGTCTGCAGGATTTTTAGTTTTTAATATGAACATGATACGCAGATTTTTTATCAAAAGACTGTCTGGCACATTTGCGGAATAGATATTAGCATCTCTGTACCTTGTGATGTAAAGTGTAAACTGAGTAATTTTTTTAATATAAATGAAGATTAAATGTTTTCTCATGAAGTATATTCTTAACTATTTTGTAAAAGTGAAATCTTGATCTTGTATTAGCTGCTTTGTAAGAGTAACGTAAACTATTCTGATGTGGGAATGATAATCCCAGAAAGTGATAATTGAATTAGAGCAAAAATTAGCGTAGTGAATTTAATTAGTTAAAATTTAGGCTCTCCAATCAACGCGAACGTTTTAATGAAATTTAAGCTCAGCACATTAGGTACAAAGGCGTTCGTTGAGGGCCAGTGTGTTTAAGTTATTACCGGGTAGGATTTCTGTGAGGAGGTAATTTGTGGAAAACTTTGAACATTCTGCCACGCACTTGCATACATTTCAGTGTTGGAGAGCAGGGGTGAGAAACTGATTGTAAAGAAAGTGCAAAGTGTTGTTGTCCATATTACATGGAACAATGTTTGCCAAAGAATACTCCAAATAGAGCCTGGACTTTTATTTTCCATACCCAATTTTGAGGGAGAGCACCCGGGGGGATCCGGGGGTCTCCCATTCCACCAATACACACAAGAGAACTTTCCGATCGCCACATATTTAGAGTGCCGCCAAGCCTCACCGACACTATATATTTACAAACATCTATGTCTTCTCCGGGATTCGAACCCGGGCTCTTCGGTACCCCAGGCTCCCCTAACCACTGTACCCTCTGGGTGACATTGCAAGGTATAATAATATAATAATATAAAGTTAAATAAAAAAGGTTGTATAAGCCTTTCCACGACTTGTAGTTATTCCAGACATAGCGGAAATTCGCTTTACGTATTTTGGAGTTATTGGTCAAATTATGAATTTCAGATCAAGTAAGACCCCCCCCCCATAAAAAAGTTAAAATATTTCATTTTTTTTCGTTGGGGAATACTTTTACATAATCCTTATCTTTTCTTTTATAAACTTCTGAAGTATCTTTAGAAAGCAGTTAAGATTTTATATCAAGCGATTGCTTTTACTTATTCAGAAGAAAAGGCCAAAAGGTATGCCGTTACAATAGTACAGTTGCATATATTTTACAGTTATTACATTTTTATGAATTCAGTATATATATGAATCTATGGTGCAGAAATATGGTAATTTCAAATTCCAAATTAGGCAAAATTCAAGCTTAGACACATACTGATTTTGCAAAACTACAGCAAAACTATGTGCTTTTTTACTCTTTATGAAAAACTGTCTAGGCTAGCACTAATCTTCCTCGGAATGCAGAGAGCTTTATATATATATATATATAAAAGCAGTGTAAATTTAAAATAGGAATTTTAACATTATGAAACTCTTGTAGGCCGCACAATACTTTCATTCAGCATTCCTCCTTCTCCGCAAAAAAACAGAAATATTTATTAATCGATTTATAAAAATGTTAATAACTATGATAAAGTTAATAATATAATTATTAACATGGTGCTTATATTTTTAAATTACCTTATTTCTCAGATTCTAAAACCTCATTTATTGGAAGATGCACCCATTCGTTTCAGAACCATTAATAAATAAAAAAGATTTTCACTCGAAGAAAGCATAATGCGTTAAATAAAACGCCTAACATATATTTAGTAAATGCTTTTTAATAACCAACTTTGATTGGTTATTAACAACAATAATGTATCTGTTTAAATTAATCATTTGGAAAAATTAATTACTTCGGAATAAATAATAATCCAAAAAAATCTGATATTCTAAGACACATACCATTTTAGCGATATTTGTATTGGAAAAGAAGTGTGTTCTAGAATCAAAGAAATACGGTGTATTAAAAGCGAGTAATCTATTTTTAGCGATATAAGCACAAAAAATTGTTTCTACTCTGCGGGGACTTACAAAACTAGAAAACGTAAACAAGATATGACATTTAAAAATGAGAACACGTTGAAGTACTAAGATTAATTTCGATATAGAAGTGCACTGGAGGAGATAATCTAAGGTTATATTTGCATGAAAAGATTTTAATCACATGTATCTTGTCAAGATACAACAGATTAAAAATTAGAGGCACCGTATAAACTAATATTTGAGAGAAATCTGAACTTTCATTCGCATGCAAACAGGATTTGGTTGTTTGAAAATGGAGTTTGCATTTCGTACTAGAAGTACGGTGGATGTTTTTAACAACCTAACTAGACATTAAAATGTTGTGATAGCATAACAAAGAATTAAGTTTTTTATTTCCCAGTAGTTCAGTAGTTCTATTACCAGGAAGATGGAACTGACGTAAGAGGTCCTACCTCCTTTTAATGACGTCACCGTGACTTTTTCCTTCCTGAACCGCTTTACAACACACACAGAAAAGAATTTTCAACTCCTTATCTCCTACAATGTTTTTGCCATGCACTGCTACTTTTCAGAAATTGTTTCTATGTACACTTTTGTGTGGAAAGTTTTTATGTCTCATTCAATTTCAGCTTTAAGTTAACGTGAATTTGGCTTATACCTTTAGTTTTCAAGTGCTTGTTCCTTCGTATTCACACTATTCCATACGATTTAAGTTTTTGCATCACAGATGAAGTTGACGTGACCTCCGTCGTAGATTTCTGTAAGCCAGAACTCACTCCGTCCAATTATCCGGCTAAACTACAGCGCTGCTGAAACCTTGCTGTCCGGGAGTGGCTTAACTGCCATTGTGACAAGCAGCCAGAGTATCCGTCGTCAGGGAGAGGGTGGTTAGAACACTCCTGCGATTGGGATTGACTCCTAAATTTTCCCAGTTGATCCAGGATAATCGAGCAGTCAAATCTGAGAGGAAAGAAGAAAAATAAGTTTCATATAGCAAACTACAAAACAAATATCAGAAAAATCAAAAAACTATTTCTGAATGATTTCTATAGCATTTCCTAAATATCATGTATAAGCAGAAAGAGGGAAAGCTTTAGATCAGGGGCAGAAATCTTCATAATGGTGTCTCGGCAATAAATGTGACAGAACATTCATAAAAGTTCCAACGTAAAAGACGTTGGAAATTTCCAACGTAAAGACGTTTATGCTGGAGCAGCATGATGCAAATAGTTTTAGTTTGCTACTCCTATTAGCAAGGTATATGAACGTTCGTTTTGCATGCACAACTCAAATTTAAAAGTGCTGGTCGCATTTTTCAAGTTAGAAACTGATCTTAATAAGGGTGCAGGCAACTTTAAGCTGGGGTACATTACTAGAAGTTTTTGACATTTTTGAATTGCCGCTGATTTTAATAAAGGTGTCAGTTTTATGTCGTGACACTGTTATGAAAATATCCGCAGAAAAGGCCAATGTTCTCTATTTCTATTCATAAAGACTATTATAAAAGATATTATTATTACCAGACTATTATTAACAGACTATTATAAAAATACCAGTAGTTAATCTGCAAAACATAGAGAGATAGACATTAATGCTTCAGGGAGCATGGATTGAGCCATGAGCAGGTGGTTTGCTTCTATCTGAATTGTAATTTAATAGCGTGAGCAGGCGCTTATCTTTCTACAACACATCCACTTTAATTAAGTGCATCTGTAAATCGTTATGTGCATCATCATTTGAGCTGGACCTAATTGTGATTATTATATCGCAATAAATGTGTGTGTCTGAATAATGGAGTTGTCATTCCAAAGTCACCATAGAAAATATGGGGGTTTATCCTGCATTAGAGTGCTCTGAGGTATTAGAGGTACAAGTTTTTTTTTTTTTTTTTTTGTCTTTTTTTATGATTAGTGTGTGCTAAATATTTTATTGAAAATGTTCGTGAAAACAAGAAAGGATAGTTTCTTAAAAGTATATGATATGGAATAAGCTTACATGTGCCTACTAGTCTGAGAGTAATAGAACTGCGAAACCTAATAGAAAACTCAAATGCCTTTAGAAAGGACTGTGAATTTGTTGTTAATATAACTAACATAATGGCAGAAGATACATTATAAAAACTACAAAAAGAACTTGAAATATAAAATGCTAAGAATCAACGGGCTGAATCAACTTCAAGAATATCAGAAAATGATGACTCGAGGATTATTTTAGAACAATTAATCAAAAGCATATAAGGTATTTCTCCCACTTTCCTAGAGTGCCTTCTTGGTGTAGTGGTTCTGCACGCTGGGCCGGTATTCCAGAGGTCCGCTGTTCGATTCCCGGCGAAGGCGTTGTTAATTTTTCCTCTTTCCTACTTCCAAAATACCTAATGTCTCTACAAGCCTTAAAAACTAACCATCTCGTTTTGGCGAAACCGGAAGTATTGCATTTGTTCTTGCATCAATTGAGAAGACATTTCGAAATAGGAATGTTCCAGACGAGTTTGAAAGGCGAAGTGCTGGTAAAATTCTGCCTTTCGTTAGTGAGGAAGAGTTAAATGATTATGATAAAGTAAAAGGCTCCAATGTTAAAAGAGTTTCAACCAACTCCCATAGATTGCTTAAAGAGTTTTGAGAAAGCTCAGAGATCACAATATGAGGCTTTCGTTCAATTTGTATCGCATTTAACTGCAGTGTTTGACTGCTATTATAATTTTATAAGCGTTAACGATATCAACTCATTGAAAGAGCTAATTGTTTCCGATAAGATGTGCGAAATACTAGTTTCCGAAACTAAGTGTCAGTTTGCAGTTAAGCAGGGTAAAAGTTGGCTTAAACTATATAACTTAAGAAAAGAATGTGATCTATATTCCCACCCCCCCGAAAAAAAATATACAAAACAAAAAAATAGAATGTAATAAATAGAAAACCTGCAAAAGAAAAAGTTCAACTTTTATAAGTACACTGCTAAAAAGGAATAAGCTAAGCCTAAAGAATCATTGTAAAAACAACAAAACAAAAATTATTTGAAACGCTTGTGGTGGCAGAAGCGATTCATTTCCTTTCGCTCGCGACTGTCCGAAACATTTAGAAAAGAAGCTTTCTGTTCAAAACGTATGGCTTTACATTACGGAATAATAAGTAAGACATCCACTGCAGCTAATTGTATGAAGCTCTGGTCTCCTACAATGTAGCTCTGCTTGGACTTGATGCATTTCACTTACATTTTTTCCCCTTTCAGTGTTTTATAGATACTGATGTCGTTTCCATATTTAGCTTCCGAAACAAGTGTCAGGACGATCAAGCTGTGGAAGCGTGTTCTTTCCTCTGCCAATAGATAACTCAGTCGTCTCCTCCTTCGAATGCAGAGACCGCGTACTTCTAAAACACAGTCAATCGCTGACGCAAAAATAGACGGTTGTGCTTCAGAGAACAGTAAGCAGGTAGTTTGCTTCTATTTGAACTCTAATTTGATAGTGTAAGCAGGTGCTTATCTTCTTGCAGCATATCCATTTCAACTAAATGCATTTGTAAATCTTCATGTGTGTTAGCCCTAACTGTCATTATAATATCGTCAGTAAATGAGTTTAAACAGAATTATCATTTCAAAGTGAAGAAGACACTACATATATTATGTGGCTGTTTGTGTGATGATTTGGATGAGAAGACACGGATACTTTCATTCATGGCCGGAGATACAGATGATAAGGTGCGTGTGTATTGCAGTCAAAATTTAGTGTGTGGATTTAGCAAATTTTATCCCTGAACAAAAGCATTACTGAGAAGTACATTTTACAGTGGATTAGACATCATAGTGGGCACAATCTGCATCCATTCTTCATATCATATTTGTGCTTTTTTTTTTACATTACGATTGTGAAATACAGAAGTGAGTGGCGACAGTTTAACTAAACACATTAGCTAAACGACAGATTAGCTAAATAGGCGACATATTAGCTAAAGCAGGAATGCATCGCATTCAAGAAATACGCCTGAGAAAGAAGAAAAAAGTTATAGTTTTCCCAAACGGTTTTGGTTTGCTTTACCTGGATTGGATACTAAACAATGATTACGGTTCCGACTGAAATTCTGTTCTCTGAAGCATTTACATAAGTTCCTGCATCAGCAGAGTTATATGAAATCATATTTCAGGGATTAATTTGAAAGTGATGAGGTTTAGAGAGCTTTATTATAAGTAATTACTGAAAATTAATTTAATTTAATAAATAATTTAGGGCTGAAAGGAGAAATAGCCAAATTAAAATGAAGCGTCAAAGGACTGTTGCAAATTAAATTTAGAATTTTGGTTTATATATATGTGCGTATGTGTGCGTGTGTTGTACGAGTATGAACCGAAATTTGCTGAAATACAAACCAGCAAGACCTTACAAATGCATTTTGTTTCTCTTTTTAAACAAAAGTATCATCCACTATTCCCATCTGATATAAATATTTATTAGTATTAGATAAAATCTTCTTTGAAGAATTCATTCTTTTTAATTTTGGAGTTGCAACATAAATCTTCTTGGTAAATGGACTCTACTATTCAAACAGTTAATTACACAAATACAAATTATATCTTGCAGATTGACAACATTTCCTACTTTAACAGCACGCGATTTTCTTGGCGAACTAAAAACAATAGCTCTTGTTTTCTAGCTCTTAAAACTCAGATATTGCTATACGTGCGAGTTCACATTCCCCCCCTCCGAGTTCTTTCCTTTACCAGTGACTATACATTTCCATGAACAATACTTTCTGGAGAGCACCCATATATTTTTAATGATTAAGAAATGTTCCTGAAATGCCCTTGAATGGTGAAGCAGCCTCCCACAACGACACAAAATACTCACTAGTTTTCAAATGTTATGAAACAGAAACTGTTTAAACCTGTATATTAGGCTTTGAATCCTTACTAATACAGTGAAAGCCTAGTAACTTTACATGTACTTTAGCGAAATCTTCAATTTTTATAACACTTTTCTGTATATAGTAACCACTTAATTCACTAATTTCTAACTTCTAGGTATCATACTCAAATGTCGCGGCTTAAGTTTTCGTGTGGAGAAACATATTTTAAGTAAATTTAAACAAATAGAAGTAAAACCACTCGGAAAAGTTTATAAAGAGATTAAATGATATTGAATCTGTAAGGGTTCATTTACCTTGCAGATCAGCAACTTTGCAGTCACACAAAGCGAACACTGAATACTAAGTAAAAACAGTAAAATAGAAATTAACTAAAAATTTATAAACCTTTCAAAACAGAAATTATAGTGTTGAAAACGGATTGTTAGTCTGCTAATAGCAAAAATAAAGCAATGAAAACCCTTTCTTGTCAACGGAAAAGTCTTGTGGGAGGCAGTTTTAGACACTCAGGTGTAAAACTACAATGAGAAATATCCTCTGTTATTACCTTCCAGTAAAAGTTATAAAATAACGTTTGTGGTTGTAAGCCGTTATCATCAAATTAATTCGCATTATGGTCCTCAATCACTAAGCTATCATATTAGTAATAGATTCTAGCCATTGAATAGCAGAAAGATTGCAAATGTTGTAAATAAGTGTATAGCATGTTTTTAAAGGATTCGAAAATAACTATAGATTTAATATGAAAAACACTTTAATTGCAGATACTTACAAAATTTAGAAGCAGTTATTCTTATAAAAACGATAGAGCTTATTTTTAAAACATAAAATTAAAACAGAGTTGAGTTGTAGCTGGTATTACACAAACAACCTCCCACCTTGTAGGATACCTATAAATTGTAACAAAAGTTATAAATCAAGTCTATTGGGAATTTTAACACGTCGACCAGCTCTAGTAACAAAATTTGGGACTTTGGGTTGTAGAGACATTAGAATTTTTTTTTTTAAAGCAGGCAAGATGAAAAATAGCAACCGCCTTCGCCGAGAATCGAACCACGGACCTCTGGAAAACCAGCCCAGCGTGTAGAACCACTACACCACAAAGGC